CCTGGCTGCAGTAGACGGGATGTCGTTTTTCTGCCTTTTGTTAACGTAAAAAAAACCATTGAAACCTGTAAAGAATTTTTGTGAGTTTATTTGAGCCAAACTGTCGACATATGCCGGGAAGCAGAACCTCAACGAATAGAGATAATGCTCCGGAGAATGGCGGGATTACATCTGCATTTATATATTTGCAATCAAAGGAGGAACATAGGTGGGTTACATGAAACTCATTGGTGATAGATTAAGGAGGAGAGATAAGCAAAGCAGGGAAACCCCTGGGATTGGATAAAAAGCAAAATGATGGACACATACTTAGGTGGGTGCAGGAACAATTAACATGATGATGAAGGAATTTGTGGTATCTGTCCTGGGGCCCAGCACATTTGGTTGTGCCCCAGGGGCTCCAGATAAAGGGAAGTCACAAGTTACCCAGACATTTCAAGGGTATGTTATCATAGATGCAAAAGGACAGATAGGCTCAGTTAAGGTAAAGGTTGACCTTGTCAGTGAAGATACTGGCCTTAGGACGTAACTGCCCACCGTAACTGCTTTTAGTTAAAGTTTAATTTCAGTCCATCCTTTGTGGTGACTTTCGGTCTCCGAGTTTGCAAGACTGCCATGCAGGCCTCCCCTGAGCTGGTCAGGTCAGCATGTGGCCCCTTTTGTCCACAATTTCTAACCCCACCTGCAGGGTACAGGTTACCCCCACTTACGGGAGGACAAGGTACTGACGCTGGGAGTTAGCTTGCCCGCACCTCACAGCCAGGGACAGCAGAAGGGAGCACCTGCCCAGGTGTGTTGGCCTCCAGGGCAGGGAGGCCCCGAGGTTCTCCCGCCCGCACCGGGAGGGATCCTCCAGCCACCCCGGGGGGATCCCTGCTGTACCCCGGAACTCAGTGTCTCTGTCCCCCTCCTCCCTTTCTGTTCCGTCTGTAGGAGGCCTCCCTGCTTATTTCTGACTGGTGCTGTGAGGGAGCCGCAGGCTAATTCTCGGCCTCTGACCGCTTTGGGGAAGCAGGCTTGGACAGGGTCCAGAGGACAGCTCCGGACATCTCCACTGTCTAGCAGAGGGTGGCTGGACAGATCCCCGGGCAGGGCGGAGGCCGAGGCAGAGAAGTGTGCACGCTGAGCCCTTCGGCCACTCACTCCACCAGTGCCCTATCAGTGCATCCAGGGGTTTCCAGGCTGGGTTCACAGCTGCGTGGTGTTGACCTTGAATCGCAGCCCCATCTGAGGGTCCCGGCCTCGCCCAGAACATGCCCAGGGAGCAAACAGTCATGAGTGATCCTCACACTCTCTTGCATTGACCGACAATAGCAGATCCTTCATTTACATTCAATTCTCTCATCTCAACCCTTACAACCCCATGATGTCTGTATTGCTCTAAGGTTCGTGGAAGTGACTTCTTTACCTTACTTCACTATAAGCCTTTCTCTTTTTACCTTTATGTTTTGAAAATGCATCATAAAAATAACACCATAGTATTAGAAGACAGATTTTTAAAACTGACCTGTAATCTCTCTGACCTAAACGAATGGAGCAGAATTTTTGGACTGGGCAAGATGTCCCGGATTCTTTTTCCGCCGGAGTCGAAGAATGAATCCACAGACAGGAGATGTTATAGCAAAGGTGGAGATTTACTGAGGAATAAGTACAGACTGAGTTCCTTTTCCCTACGGCTTATAAAGGCTGCAGGTCCTTGTGCCTTGATATCCCCTCTGATTGGTCACTATTCCCTTAGACTGGTTACTATAGTAACTCCTGAGCTCAAGGTCGAACCTCACATGGGACATGTGAGGTTCTCCCCCCCCCCTTTCCTTCCTTATTGTTTTCCTATTCCCTTTGGGCTTTCTTCTTCTCCTTCTAGATGAAGGGCTTCCTTCCTTTATTTTGTAAATATAGACATTTTGCTGTTCCCAGCTCCCTCATTCTATGGAAATGTACCGTGGAGCTTTTCAGCTTCCCTATTCTATGGAAATACACCTGCTGCTGCTCTGTAGCCCTGTGCTGCTTCCATGGTCCCCTTAATTTCTAAAATTTCCTAAAACCTGTCTTTTTCACCCCCAAAAAATCCTGTTTCACTATAAACAATATTTATAGTTTTCTGGAATCTTCCCAACTTTATTCACGTGCATTACGTACTCACATTGCTGTTAGTATCACTGTATACCGGTATGTATATAAATATTTATATTGACAGATGGAGAAACTGAGAGGTGGGACATGGAGTGGCATGACCCGATGAGATGGGACACTCGCTCCTGATAGCAATTCAGGTCTAGGTGCCCTTCACACGTCTGCCATGTTGTCGTCACGTGACAGAGGGTCCTTTACGGTTTCTCGCGAGGGCCACGATGATTTTTGGGTCCTAGTGCTGCTTCTCTCGTCCTTTCATTTCTTGGGGACAGATGAACAGAGAGAGGCTTTACGCCTATCCCTATCCCTACCCCTCTTCCCAGGAGCGGCTGGGCCCTGGCCTCTGATGACCTTCCTCTGCCCTTCCTCCCCCAGCAAACAAAGGCACAACAAGCTCTGGCGCCAGCAGACCGAGAGCCGCCTCCAGCAGCCCGTGGGTGACCTCGCGGGGTCCGGGGACTTCTTGCCAGAGACCCTGGACGACACCCGGGAAGCCCGGCTGTCCTGCTTGGACGATGCTGCCCAGCCTGGGTTCCCAGGAGGAGGAGGCCCCTCGCTCTCCTGCTGTTTCCGGCGGCTCTCAGACCCCCTCCTGCGTTCCCCCAGCGACGAACCCGGCGGCATGGTCCAGCTGGAGGATCTGGAGAAGGATGCTCTGTTGGAGGGAGCAGCTCAGCCTCCAGCAGCGCCCACGCCAGCCAGACCTCCCCAGGAAGGCCCTGGGCCCTGTGAGAAGGAGGTGAAGAAGAAATCGGAGTTCGGGAGCCCGAAAGCCCACGGTGGCCCCTTGCCGGCCGTGGAGGAGATGGAGAGGGAGGAGGCTCCCGGAGCAGGGCAGCGGGGGAGGTCCCCAGCCCAGCTGGATAAGAGCCTGCTCAACCGGGAAAACCTAAATAATAACAATAGCAAGAGGAGCTGTCCGGACGACTTTGAGGTAAGTGGGGCCAGCGTGTGGGGCAGCAAACCCACCACATCACTTCTGTCCTGCCCCCAGAGCAGCCCTCTCCCAGCCCCTTCTGCTGCTTTGTTCCGCCAGCTCGGCAGTTCTTACCCCCAGGGACCCCTGGGTTTGTCTCAGAGCGAGTGGTCCCTATTCCTGCAGTGAGACCGCCATCCCTCCAGGGCCCCCCAGCTCGCCCGCGCCCTCCTGGTATGTCGTGGTCTTTGGCTGTGTCACGCTCTCACGACGTTCTTGTCCCCTTCCAGCACGATGCTCTATTTGGGATCCTCAACAAAGTGAAGCCTTCCTACAAGTCCTGTGCCGACTGCATGTACCCTACGGCCAGCAGGGCTCCCGAGGCCTTCGGGGAGCGGCGCGAGACCCCTGGGGCCCCCGCCATCTGCACCCAGCCAACCTTCCTGCCCCACCTCACGTCCTCCCCGGTGGGCCACACAGCCAGCCGGTCCCGAGCCCTGGAGAAGCTGGCCTCCGGCCCCCCCGAAACTCCCCCACTCCTGCCACCAGCAGGCCCGAGGAGGCCGGACCCCGGGGACTCTGGGCCCAGGGCTGCCCCGGAGCCGCCAGCGAGCCTTTCGGAACCTTCCAGAGAGACCCCCAAAGTCCTGCCAAAGGCCCTCCTTTTGAAGAATTCTCACTGTGATAAGAACCCTCCCGGCATGGAGGTGGGTAAAGGAGGAATCGCCACCCAAGAAGGACGTGAAGTCGGCAAGGACCTGCGGCTGCTGATCAGTAAAGAAGCGAGAAGTCGAGCGCGCACAGCTACCTGATGCA